AAGAAAAACCCTTTTTAATTATGATCTTTTGATTACAATACTTGTTTTTTCGTTTTCTATTTTTTTTAACTAACAGAAAATGTCAAAATCCAAAACACAAAATATGGGGATGTAGGGATTTTTGAACCCTACAACCCCATACTTTTACGTCATTTTTTTCATTTTGCCTATTTTCCTAGGAATTAAATATATTGGGGGGTTGCGGCCGCACTCGACCGCACGCGGTCGGACCCGGCGGTCATGATCCCGACCGCATGCAGTCAGCACTCCCGCAGTCATGACCGGGGGTGATACATAGCACCACTGCACTCAACAAAAACATCTGCACAGTATGCCTTGAGGTGCATTCATCTCCTTTCTGCCATGCTTTCTCCTCTGCCAGAATGGCCTTATCTGCATCTCAATGATCCCTCTTACCTGTCGGACTGACCCTTGTGATAAACAGGCTCCTCCATCCAACCCCTGCTAATGCCCATTGCACAAGAAATTTTCTGCATCACATGAGCCCTTCCCTATGTCTAACTGACCCGACGAATCCCTTCCTCCTTCCAACGACTGCTACTGCCCATTTGACAGTTCTTCTTGCCCATCCGACCTGGCTTTCACATCCAACTGTGCGATCATCTGGTCCATTTACCCCCAGGGAAAAACGCCGCAAGGACGAAAGACGGTTAACAGGGGGGCAAATATTCGCCGTTTTCATGGGCAATTTCGATGTGAAATTCATCGAAAATTTCAAAAACAAACAATATGGGCCCATAGTGAAAACATAAAAAAAAGAAACAGGCCGAAGAAAACCAGAAAAAAAAAAAAAAAAAACACACTATAAAACGGTATTAAAACCCTAACACAAAAACNCTTGCCTTGTGCTGTTTGTTTGCCCACCCTCCTCCCCTCTACCCTCCAGCCTGTCCTTTGCTGTTTTCTATTCTTCTGGCCGCTTTGCTGTTTTTTGATACTTGTACGTATGCCCTCCCGCCTCCCCCATACGTTTCAGCCTATGTGCTGCCTCACTGCTTGTTCCTCCTCTCATGCCTCTAAGTTCATGTGCCTCCCCAATGCGTTTCAACCTATGTGCTGCCTCGCTGTTTGTTCCTCCTCTCGTGCCTCTTAAGTTCATGTGTCGTGTTGTGGTTTGTCATGCTATGGTGTTGGTTCCCTGCCCGTTGCCTCGCTGTCCTTTGCCTTCCCCCCTTCCCTCCGTTTGTTTGTGGGGTGTTATTGCGTGTGTTCTGGTCTGTTTGGAAAAGAGGAGGCGCCACCCACCCCCCTCACTTTGTTTTACTGCTTTCGCATATTTGGCTGCTTTCGACTTTACGGCCCTTTAAATAAGTACCCTCACCACAAATGGACACACAAATGGTTTTACCCCACTGCGTTGAAAATCGCCCCCCGCGCTTTGCATCTTGCCCACAGTGTGCCGACATGTCTGGTCAGAGGAGCACGGGTATGACGTGTCGTACTCGTGCGAAACTCATGTGACACACACATGCTACACACTAAGGAGGATGAGTTTCCTCGATCGCTGTTGGGGGGTGCCCCCCCCGACCGCACTGTGAAGCGTTTTTCTTGGCGTTCTTTATACGCCCCCGCGTGAAAACGGGTTGATGTTGGTGGCTATGGGGTACGCCAAGGTCGTCTGAACGATGGTGACGGAATGGCTGTGCAAATTGTTGACAATAAATAGGCTAAAGAAATGCGAAGTCTGCAGTAAAGATGACAAAGTTTTTTTGGGGACAGCTGGTGGGGGCCATTCTCTCGACTTTGCGGCTCTTTGAGTTGGGGCTGTTTCGGAGACGTGCGTGTCTGCCTGTGTGCGGTGTCCATCAACTGTCATGGGCACCGCGCGCACACACACACACACACACACAATCACAATCAGTTTTATGTCTGTCAGTCTTTCTTCTGTTGTATGTCCTCCTTGATTTTTTCTATGTATTTTTTGTATGCCCAACTGAGCACCCTAAAGTAGTGCAAAAGAGTCGGTGGTTCCTCGTTTGGAGTGCCTACTGCACTCTTATGGGGGCTGCTCGGTTCGGGATGTCTGTATTGCCTGTCGGTGATGGCGGATGTTCGTCGGAGTGACTCCCTGGCTCAGTGGGTGGTGGGAACCAACAGTCTGTGGGGTTCAACCGTGATGTATGTCATGTGTTGCTTTGCTCCGTGTTGGATGTGTGGACGTCCTCGCCTGCGCTCCACCGCTGCCTTGCTGCCTGTCCTGCTTGCTTCGCGTGTGGCTCTCTGCGAATTGCTGTGTTCGCTGCGTGGTGTGGCCGTGTTGTTGATGTTGCCTTGCGCTTCGCTGCTTCGCTGTCGTGCTCCTCATCCGCTGGTCATGCCTTCCGTGTTTGCTGCTTGTGTGCCCTGTTAGTTGGTTGCCTTGGTGCTGGTGCCTTGTGCTCCGCTCCACGGTTGCCTAGCTGCTGGTCCACTCGCCCTGTCATCCCTTGCAGTGTGGCTGCCCTGCTTGTGTTGCCTTGTGCTTCACTACATGGTTGCCGCGCTGCATGTCCTGCGTGCTATGTTGTCCCTTGCAGTCGTTTTTGGCGTTGTGCGGCCGTGTTGCCTCTACTGTGTTGCGTGGTGCTCCACAGGGTTGCTGCCCGCTTCTATGTTCCGCTTGGGGACAGTCTGCCTTCAACAAGGGTCAAAGGGTTCATGACCCAAACCATCAAATACGGAGATTCTGCAGATTGTCGAGGGTTCAGCCTCCTGATGAGTCAGTGCAACTCCGACAAAACAATCTATCATCATTAGTTTTTATTTATTTTTTTCGGTCTTTGTTTCTTGCGTTGTGCTGTTTGTTTGCCCACCCTCCTCCCCTCTACCCTCCAGTCTGTCCTTTGCTGTTTTCTATTCTTCTGGCCGCTTTGCTGTTTTTTGATACTGTTTGCATGCCCATCTGCCTACCTTATTTCACCAGGTGTGCGATGTTGCCTTGAGCTGTTTGTCAGCCCATGCCATCCAGCCGAGTATGTGCCTTGCTGTCTTGCACTGTTTATCTGCCCATCCACCTTCCCCATGCCCTCGAGGCTATGTCTTTTGCTGCATTGTCTTTGGTGCCTCAATGTTTTGTGCTGTTTGTTTGCCCACCCACCTCCCCCGTGCGCTCCAGCCTATGTCTTTTAATTGTTTGTACTGTTCAACTGTCAACGTTCGGTCCACTATGGGGTTATGTGAGAATTGTCTTCGAGTTGTTTAGTGCATTGGTCTCTCCTTGGGGGTCGCCAGGCAAAGTACACTTGTTGTACTGGAGCTACATCAGAGTGCGTTTACACACAGCATCACACACACACACTGACACGCACACACACACACAAGCGCGCGGGCACACATGCCACACACACACACAAACACGCGCATTCCTTTTTTTTTCCCCCTTTGATCTATCAATCAATCAATCAACCAACCAATCCCAATCAATCAATCTATCAGTATGTGTCTGTGAAAAACGAAAAAAAAGCAAGTAGAAGAAGAAAAGAAAACGGTTTCGGCTTTTTTTTTCATTATTATCTTTTTGTCCTTTTATATTTGCATATGTTGGTAAAACAAAGAATCAAAGAAACATGTGCACCATGTATATCGCACCAGCAATCAGAAAAAAAAAAGAAGAAAAACCCTTTTTAATTATGATCTTTTGATTACAATACTTGTTTTTTCGTTTTCTATTTTTTTTAACTAACAGAAAATGTCAAAATCCAAAACACAAAATATGGGGATGTAGGGATTTTTGAACCCTACAACCCCATACTTTTACGTCATTTTTTTCATTTTGCCTATTTTCCTAGGAATTAAATATATTGGGGGGTTGCGGCCGCACTCGACCGCACGCGGTCGGACCCGGCGGTCATGATCCCGACCGCATGCAGTCAGCACTCCCGCAGTCATGACCGGGGGTGATACATAGCACCACTGCACTCAACAAAAACATCTGCACAGTATGCCTTGAGGTGCATTCATCTCCTTTCTGCCATGCTTTCTCCTCTGCCAGAATGGCCTTATCTGCATCTCAATGATCCCTCTTACCTGTCGGACTGACCCTTGTGATAAACAGGCTCCTCCATCCAACCCCTGCTAATGCCCATTGCACAAGAAATTTTCTGCATCACATGAGCCCTTCCCTATGTCTAACTGACCCGACGAATCCCTTCCTCCTTCCAACGACTGCTACTGCCCATTTGACAGTTCTTCTTGCCCATCCGACCTGGCTTTCACATCCAACTGTGCGATCATCTGGTCCATTTACCCCCAGGGAAAAACGCCGCAAGGACGAAAGACGGTTAACAGGGGGGCAAATATTCGCCGTTTTCATGGGCAATTTCGATGTGAAATTCATCGAAAATTTCAAAAACAAACAATATGGGCCCATAGTGAAAACATAAAAAAAAGAAACAGGCCGAAGAAAACCAGAAAAAAAAAAAAAAAAAACACACTATAAAACGGTATTAAAACCCTAACACAAAAACTGCAACAAGACTCATCTTCTCCTTCACTTGGCATGCATGCAGACAGATGGCAATCGCACTGGC